ACCATGGAGTATAGAGAATAGGAGGCTAAACTAGGCTTTGAAAAGTGTGGTCAAAATCATAATATAAAGCCGGTATTCATAGTCAGATCTTATATTCAAGACTGTCTTAAGTACGGTCTTAAGTATGGTCTTAAGAAATCAGTCTTGAAATAAGAATCGACTATGAATACCGGCTAAGAGGTCAGTTTTCTGTGGCTGAACTAGTGTACACTTTTGGAACATAAAGTGAGATAGATATACGTTTTGTAGCGAGATGCTACATATAATAAATGTAGGTAATGGATGGCACCAGATTCACAAGTAATAACGTGTATTTATTAGCATACAATATCTCATCGCAACAATATAATTCGAAATATGTCGTGTTTCTGGTCGGTTAAAGAACTAAGCGAAGACAATATCTAGATGAGAAATTCAGTATCGTGTTCGTGGGAGCGCGCCATCTGGTCGCGGAGTATGTATGTCTAACCGAGTATAAGACATGAAGTATATAACTGAAAGAGTATGAGAATAGGTGCGTGCGTGCGTGTGTGTGTGCGGAAGTGTGAATGTGTCTCCACAGTTTGATATTTATTTAAAGCGAGAAAGAGAGTTCTAGAACAGTCTAGTATAGGAGCAGAAAACAGACCAAAGAATATAAGGTCTTCCGTTCCCGAGGATGCACAGTAGTCCAAAATGGCGGCTGTTCCTAAACTACAGACTTCTATATATACTACTAGACAGCTAACTCCTTAGGACAAGCTGTGAAAGGGACTCGGAAAATATATGATAGTTTGCATGCGTCATGAATATACTTAAAAGAATGCAGTATGGCTGTTTTACAGCACTATTCACATGCTAAACGTATAATCTTATGAAAGTGATGTGATATCATAGCGAAAAATATTGTTTCTTTTGGAAGAGAAAGTGATGTGATCTCATAGCAAAAAATTTTCTTTTAAAAAAAAGAAAAAGCGTTTAAATAAAAAGGTAGAGATATTAGAAAGACAATTGAATATTAAACGTGTATAAAAGATATGATTTTATTCAATTTTTTACAAATTAGAATAATTTATAATAACTGGATTATGAAAATAAGTATTTGGTGATTTTAATATTGTTATATAAGTTAAGGGGATCCTAAAGCCTCCTGTTTTATCGATTAAATTATGTAATTTTTGTATAACAAATACTTTTTTTCTCTTTCACCGATTCGAAAATCCTTTTCCAAGATTAAAGTATATGCATTAATACGTGTCTGGGAAATACAGTCTATGCCTAGAACGATCAAAAATTTCAAAATTGATATATTTTTTACGATTTCTTAATAATACATGACGGCTCAGCTATCAAGTCGTGACAACATCTGCATGAAATGAATGCTTTGCAACCTGTACGTACGAAATAGGTACTCAGATATGTAGTTTACACGGACAAATAACGTCGAATTCTTAGAATTAGACTTAAACGCTTTATTGCGACAAATTTGTTATACAAAAATTGACACGAATGTGCGACTGCGTGTATTATAGGTTGCGTGAGATATTGATAAGGTAATAAATAAAAACATGTCGAGAGATGCGCGACCTCTGGTTACTTCGTCGGGATTCGAGCTTCGCTTTAGGATCTCCTTCACATGTCAAAATAGTGTGCTGATGTGTGCTGTAACGTCCGCCGATAAAATAAACGCGAACGTACTTCTACTTAGCTTTAAGAGATCACGCCATACATACAATTTCCAAGCTGGTGCACTCTGGTGAACATAATATTACGTTGACAACATAAAATTATAATAAATGGAATATTGCCATGATTACGAAAATATATAAGTAATGTAACACAATACCTATAATAAATGTAACACAATATATAATACATAGTACAATAGTTATACTTCCATTTATTTTAATTTTCTTTTCCTCAATTTGAAGTTAATTAACAACAAATAAAACAAGGAAAAAAGGGAACCAGTTAATAAATGTATCCTTTAACATTTTGCATAATAATGCTAAAGACTAAAATATAATAATTTCCAAATATTGAACGTTAACTCAATGTTATTGCTCACAGAAATATATAAATTTCAATATACAATACCCTCTCTCTCTCTCTCTCTCTCTCTCTCTCTCTCTAGTATATATATATAATGTAACACAATATATAATAGTACAATGGTTATACTTCCATTTATTTTAATTTTCTTTTCCTCAATTTGAAGTTAATTAACAACAAATAAAACAAGAAAAAAAGGGAACGAGTTAATAAATGTATCCTTTAACGCATTGCATAACAATGCTAAAGACTGAAATATAATAATTTCCAAATATTGAACGTTAATTCAATGTTATTGCTCACAGAAATATATAAATTTCAATATACAATACTCCCTTTCTCTCTCTCACTCTCTCTAATATTATATATATATTGTGTTACATTATATATATATATATATATATATATATATATATATATATATAT